AGGATTAAGACTCCAGACCAAGCTGTTCTTCATTGACTATATATGTATATAGAAATAACGATGCTTCTTGTGCAGGGTGACTAGCTAATATCCTAAATCTATACATTGAAAATAAAAAGGCAAGAAAAGACACTAATCCCTCATGACTATCTCGGAGGTCAATTGGTTAGAAAAGATCTAATCCTTCAAACAAGTTTTGAATGCACATTTAATAATATCCTCTCAATTTCAAAAGACATAAACACCTCTTCATATTCTAGAGCAGTGTTAAATGCTTTACCATGAAGTGTTGAAATCAGCTTTAGCCACCTAAGAGAAAGCAGATTGGAAACCCCCCGCCAAAAAAATCTTACCCCATATCAAGCTTAAATTTGAGGCCTTCATAAAAAAATAAAAGATGCAAAGAATCGAGTTTTGAATCACAGCACTTTGGATTTCTTTTAGAGTTAATCTTCAAAAACAAAGCTACTCTTAAAGAAATTAATTTTTAAACTAGATATAGTATAAAACAGTAAGTTTTCTCTAAGAAGTTATAGAAAATAAAATGAAAGTTTTCACTGTATATTAGAAATGTACAGGTAAGTGCTTATGACAAAAGGTACAATAAATAGAAGACAGGATAAGTTCTCAAAGTTGTTCCTCCTGGAGTAAGATGTTAGCTTTTGGCTTCCCAAGGAAGAAAAGATTCAATCCCCCAAATTTGAGAAATAGTAATCATGCCTTATCCCCGACTCCCCGTTCTGCCCACGAGAGGAAGCAAGCTGACCACTTTTCTTTCTGGAGAGGCTCATGAGTGCTTTCAAGTGTGGTACTGCCATGATGCTGAGGACAGTTTCTACTACAAAATTCACAAAGGCATTTCAGAAACATGCCAGGGCACCGGTTGTTTAAACTAGAAACTGCTCAGAAGATTTGGTATTCTGATGACAAATTAGGCTATCCCAGTATTCACAGAACAGCATTGTGAGATTTTAATCTTAAAAAAAAAATTTACAGTTTGTCTTATTTAGGAGAAAAAAATCGAGGTACACTTGCTGTTAGAAGATGAAGGCCTGCATTTGTTTCAGCCCAGGGATAGCCACTCAGTAACTGGCTCTCTATTGCCACCTACAGGCAAGGCGGCCCATAACACCGCATTCGGAAATGGCTCTAGTGCAGGGGTCCCCCGCTTCAGAAGGAAGCTGCCCACTATCACAATTATTAGTACACTGATTAGTATGGATTTGTTCAATTAGACTGAAATTCTCTATTTGCATGAGCAAAATGCAAAAGAAGAACTTGAAAGCATTAGGAAAATTACCGGTTAAAATAATAAACAGCATTAAATGAGGAAAAATAAATTGGAACTGACATCTGAGTCATCGGTTCTTCATCAAGCTGAGCAAATCTAATAATGCCTCCCTCCCCTCCCTCGGCTCTCAAGAAGTCCACCGTTAAAATGTCATCTCTAATTCCATTTTATGTCTATAAATTGCATTTTAATAACCTTTTGTTTCCCTTTCTCTGTTCTGTTCTGGGTTTCTTTGGTTTGGTTTTGTTTTAATCCCCCAACTACTGGGAAAGGTAGTGAGGCAGTAGGCGACAATGGAGACAGGGTGTTGCAGTTATAAGGACAGCAGCGGGCTCCCACCTAATCACGTCATCTGACCTAAATGCCAGGCACCTTTCCTCCTCTGAGAAGGGCCCTACGATCTCCGTGAGCCTCCAGTGGGTAATTACCCTCCCAGCCAATTTGAGGACCTTAATATAAAGTTATCATTTGTCCTCTCTTTGGTCTTAATCATGTAGGGGGTGGGAGGTAGAGAAGAAAAAAAATGACAACACGAACAGAAAACATTAAGGTTCAGAACCATGAATGCATGTTAAGCTACCCTCATGTCATAAATTATACCGGTGACTAGAGTCTGTTTGTTATGACAGTATGCTCTTTTTCCCTTTGTCACTCTGAGAAAGAAAAAGTGTCATGAATCCCTTTATGAGCAGATAGTGAGGTTTCTAACAGTGAGGTTTCTAACTAAGGGAAGAGAATTACCAGTTAAAGACCAACAATTTAATTGCTGATTTTCTGAAGAAAAAAAAAACCAATAAGCCAATTGATACTCCATTCTAGACAGTATATATATTTTTGAATTTTAAAGGGTGTGTATAATTTCCACAAAACAGTCTTATAATCGTGGCAGTTTAAAATAAAAAACATCATTTGATAGCCTCTGGGAAAAGCATACATGCCCATGAGAAAAAAATTCTGTCTGAATGAAATCTATGCTAAAATCAGTTTCTTTTTCCCCTATACCCATCAAATAGAATTCATTACAGTGTAATAATTACATAAATTTCTATCATGTGGGTAAATCAATAATTATATTCCATTATTAAATTGTCAAATGATCTTTCTAGAACCATCATTTATTAAAGGCATTCCTTCTACCTCTCACTTATATTCTGCCTCACAGCAGAATGTCGTTCCTTTGCAATTAAACTTTAGTTTGAGTTGGGATATTTTTAATGCCAGGGCTCCTTCATCAGGCGATAGTCCCGAGTCTAATCTTTGCACTTTAAGAATGGGAACAGGGGTATGGAGTATACATTAACTTATCCAGTGCCATTTTGAAAGCTAAGCACAAAGGCAGTCAAACTGGCTGGTTTCTAACTCCCATCCTGGACCTGGTGACCTACTCCAGGTTTTTATGGAGGGTGTGGACATTTATCTGAGGGAGAAGCTTTCTGGAGAAGATGCATAAATGCATCTATTATGGTCCGTGAGCTCCTCCTGAAATACTCCCTGAAATTTACAGCCATATTCTCTTTCATTTGAAATATTAATCATAGTGGTCAACATGTGAATTGTGCTTTAGAATTTGACAAGGCACTTTTTCAGTTATTTCTCCAAAAAGTCAATTATTTTGAGCCTGAGTTAAGTGGGTGATTTTTTTCACAACTTTGTAGTGGATAAGGAGATTAAATCAGCTTGCAACTAATGCACAACTCAGCATCACACAGCCCATTCTACAATAAGTTTATTATCAGTTGGTACAGTCTCCGTGGAAACATGTTGGTGATGAACTGAGAAACTGATACTAAATTGCATTCAAAATGGTCCAGTCATGATATTTAGAAAGAAATCAGTTGACTTTTAATCTTCAAATACTAACTGATGGTTTTGAGGGCGATCTACTTAGATGAAGTTTTAATAAACTCATATAGAATAGGTTTCAAAATTTATCCATGTTTGATTAAAGCAGGATTCCCCCTCCCATCTGTGTTGTCTGTCCACTGAAGAATTGCCCTAAAGTTCCTGCTCTCAGTCATTATAAGATTCCCGTAAGATTCCCAGAAGATTGTGAACAAAGCATTCTTGAGCAACCAAGGCAAACTTAACCAAAGACTAATTCAAATAAAAGGCCAGGAAAAACGAAAACAAACCCCAAAATGACAGGTGGGAAAAGCACCCTCTCTAGCAATTGTAAACCCTCAGCAGGAGCAGAAAAGCAGTTCTTTTCATGGACAAGCGTGCTGGCAGTCCATTCCAAAAGGAAACTGTGGAAGCAAACATTTTGGAATAGACTTATGTCTTGAATGAATGATGAAAGCAGAGGAGAGAATGTCTGGTTTCCCTGAGAAGCACCATGAGATTGTTACTTTCAAAAATTACTGACTGAATGTTAGCTGATAACAAGAACACTGATGAAAACAGGAAGGACCGTGTGCTTCTACATTGAATTTCCTTAGAAAGAACAGAGAGATAGGGCCCGGACAACAACCTGTATATTATATCCCCAGCAGCGCAGAGGAGAACCAGGAAAGAGTATGCATTCTACTTAGTGTTGTCAGGATGCTCGTGAGCCAGTGACTCATATTCATGTAACTCCCTGCTGAAAGGGTTCAATCAAAAATCATGATATGCGAACAGTCCAGGGAAGTGTATGCATGCACGCGTGCCACCTGCAAATTCTGGAAGCTCCTATCAACTATTCAGTAACCCAGATCTGAGACTGGTTGTATCTAATACGTCATTCATTTATCTTTGTCTCTTTTCTGGAGTTCTGAAACAACCAAAAACAGAAAAGAGAAAGAAAAACACCAGGAGAAGTAGTTAAATATTCAGTATTGCTGACAAGAATGATGTGTACTTAGTAGCATAAATACTTTTAAAAATGTGACATAGTGCCTAAGTTGTTTGTTTGGAAAAGAAAAACAATGAATACGCTTTAAAATGTACACACTTAGGGGAAAAAGGGGGAAATTATTAAAAACTCAAGTAATCTGGGACTTGAATATATTTACTCTGGAATATGACACCAGGAAGTATGAGGTTTCATTATTTCTCTGCCCAATTTAATCTTTGCCTAGAGCTGCTATCAAATTGCATGTAGTGTATATCTGCATGTATGGAACAGAGGAAAAGAAAAAAAAAAAGGCTTGTGCAGCCGCATCAACAAAATGGTAACTATTAAAAGCCTCTCCACTTTGAAAACAGACATTTCTAAGGAGCAAGAAATCGTGATTTCTTTGGGTGTTCACAGCAATTCAGTTTCACTGAAAATCTCAGTGGGTAAGCGTCCTGCCATGTTTTTGGCTTTCGTTTAAGTCTTGTACAAAGATCTATAGTGTTCCAACCTCCCTCTGCCATGTCTCAGCTCCCCTTCCCTCCCAGGTCCTGGCAAAAGGACACTAGGAACTTTTTTTCTCAGAGCCCAGAAGTTTGCACTGGCACAGAGTCCAGTGTGGGGGAGGTTTTCTGCTTTAAAAAAATAAATCATGAAATTAATATATACTGCAAGGCACCCTGGAGGTGTTGGATAATGATGCAACTCCCACGGAAATGATCAGTAAAAACACATCGTATATATAAGCCCCAGACCTCTCCCAGTGCTTTCCATGGTCGAGCTGTCTAAAGAAATGACCCATTCTGCTGTCTCTGAGTGGAATCTCCTGAGTAATGCCTGTCTCTTAGGTGGATTGCTTTGAAAAAGTTATAGGTGGATATTTCAGATGCTTACTGCTATGACAGAAACTCCAGCTGCTGTGCTATTCGGTTTGGGACCTGTGTTGAAATGCTTCTTTATCTTTCCCGCTACTGACAGCTGATGTTCATTTTCTGGTAGGCCGTCATCCTGGAGGGGAAAAAAAAAAAAAGAAATAAAAAAAAAGGAGAAGAAAAAAAATGAAATAAATGGGAAATGAGGCCAAGATATTCCAGTAACAGGCAGTGATCTTAAAATTCATAACATTTCAGGAAGAAACCAACCAGTGTCCCCTCATTAAACGCTGTTGTTGGAAGTACTGCTCTGAAATTAATTTGCTGTGTCATTTCACCCTCTTACTTTGTCCCTAAATAAAAATCTTCTGTATTTTGTTATTAGTAAAATTGATTCCAGTCATCACTCTAGAGACACATGTCAAAAAGCAAGTTAATCTGGGCAACTAAAAAAAAAATATAAAAAACATTTTTTTCCCCCCCCAACCCAAGAGTTTTATCCTCATAGTCCATAATTCTGTCCCGAAGCCAAGGGAAACTGATGGACCCGGGCTCAGGCAGGAACCCCTAAATAAACTCAGTCTGGTTCCACAGCCACTCGATCAGCCTCTCCATAATCCCAGGCAGCTTTGCAGGGGGCAGGTTCTTGCTTAAGTTTTATAACTGTTTATGTGTGTTAGTTTCGGCTGTGCTGGGCTTCCTTGTTGCTCAGCCCCCCCCCCCGCCCCCCCCCCCCCCATTGCGGTGACTGGGGCCTGCTCTCACTGGTTCACAGGCTCTCACTGTGACAGCTTCTCCTGATGCAGAGCACCGGCTCTAGGGTGATTGGGCTTCGTTGTTCCACGGCACGTGGGGTCTTCCCAGATCAGGGACTGAACTTGCGTCTCCTGCACTGGCAGGCGGATTCTTTACCACTGGGCCACCCCCTCCCATAACTTTTTAATCCTTCTCGCAGCCCTCAACTCATCTGCTGTCATGACATACTCCACCCTGGGGCTCACATGAGCTGAGGCCTCTGCTCTCTGCCGGAGCCATTTACAAGCAAGACTGGCCTGATTTCTCTCCTTTGCTCACTACTGTGAGAATAAGAAGAGCCAGGGTCATGTGCCACCATTTACGAGTGTGTGCCGAAGACACTGCACGATCCTAGAAGACAGGAAGTGTGTGCTGTGACTATAGAATACCCAGGTCTTAGCATGTACTTTGGCTCCTAGTAGATGCTTAGTAAATATTTGTGGGATAAATGAATGAATATATAATTGTTGCTATCTATTTAAACCAAAATTCCTGGCAAGACTTCAGTGTCATTCATCATTTCCTTCCCTACTTCCTCTCCATAATTTTGCATGGAATTTCTTGGCTCTACCCAGGAAAATATGTTTGCTGCTTTCCAAGCACAGCAAGCTTGCTCCCAGGTCCTTCCACATGGGATTGACTCCTTTTTTCAGCATTCAGCTATTTGTTTATTAAGCTAATAGTAACTGCATGCCTGCAATGGGCCAGGCACTACAGCAAGTGATGGAGAAATAATAGTGACCAAAACCAGGTATGGTCTTTGCTCTTATGGACCCTGTGGTCCCTCTCTTTCTTCAAAACTTGGGTCCTAATCACCTGTTTCAAAACATTTTTCCTCTGTTAAGCACCATTCGTTACAATAGTTCTTCCATAAACTCCTAATGCTTTTCATTATATATATTTGCACTATTTATATTCTTTTTGGTGTTAGGTGACCTTGTTTGTGTGTCTGTGTGTGTGTGTATATACACACACAGATAAGTTTATATCTAACTGAATCTCTGCCCTGTTGTACCACATCTTTCATGTTTTCTGTAATCTTTAATGCAAGTCTTGGCTCCGTGCCCTGCACACAGTGGATGCTCAATTTATGCTCTTCTTGTGCTGCTTTATCAACGGCTAGGAGAAGGAACACTTATCTTGCTTATTAAGTCACATCTGAAACCAAATCTAGATGAAGGGGGCTTTCCAATGATGCAGAGTGAATTCAAATTTTTAAAAAAAATTCTGCATTGTGGAAAGAAATATAAAGTGAAGGCCGACTGGAGTAAAGCTGGGATGACACCTGGATGGAAAGCGCCGTCTGCAGTACCTGCTCTGTGCCGGGCTGTGCTGGGGATGGTCAGGTGGGGAAAAGATAGCGCTGCCATCCGCCAGACCCTCCTGGGCTAACTGGGAGACAGAGGTCACACACCACGTCAAAGAGTACACAGGCCAATAAGGTAGAAAAGAGCTACTAGCAGGCAGTGTAGCCACATGGCTCAGGGAGAAACACCAGAGGAGTTTAGGGGAGAGAGGATGAGTTTTCAGTGAGCACCGACTCCACAAGGAATCCAGGATCCCACTAGGTCCCTGACGGTAGGAGTGTACTGACAGGTGTGTGTGGTGGGGCGATGCTGGGGCATAGATGGGCCTGAGTGGGAAGCTGCAAGGCATGTTTGCCATAGTCAACCATTCCCCCTCTAGTTAAGAGTTTCCGTGGGAGAGTGACAGCGAGAAAGTTGAAAGAGCAGGGGAGGACAAGGCCCAGAAGATCTGGAGCTGGAAGCCTTGGTCTCAACGAGGAGTAAAGCAGTGCTCTTTAAGAGGGGTGCAAGTGCCGGACGCGTGAAGGACCACCCTCCCTTGATTCACTTCCCAACTAGACAAGTGAAAGAGAAGGAGGACAATCCCAGAGAATTAGGATTAGAGGGTCTAGAGTTTTAAACACAAGAGCAAACTCAGTGATGCATGGAAAACAATTTTTCTTTTTTGGTTAATGAAACAATAGCCTTGGAATCTAAGTTAGAATTTGAGGAGGATTTAAACATTTGACAAGATGAAATGATGTGTCTTTATTGAAAGCCTTACAAGTGTCTTATCTCTGGTGTAATCTGAGGTTCTGCCTGAAGGAAAAGAGGAAACAAGATAGAGTGGCGTCTCACTGGGTGGCACCTTCCAAATTATATGGGTACTTCTAGTCATCTGTTTTTTAAAGATTTTTTTTTAATGTGGATCATTTAAAAAATCTTTATTGAATTTGGTTACAGTATTGCCTCTGTTTTATGTTTTGGGTTTTTGGCCCAAGGCATGTGAGATCTTAGCTCCCCCACCAGGGGTTGAACCCACAACCCCTGCAGAGGAAGGTGACGTCTTAACCACTGGACCACCAGGGAAGTCCCTCCAGTCATCTCTTAATAGAGCTCCAGGCTATGTAAAGCAAAGCCATTTGTATGCAAAGCCTTCAGATTATAAAATGAGCTTCCCTGGTAGCTCAGCTGGTAAGGAATCCTCCTGCAATGCAGGAAACCCCAATTTGAAGCCGAGGTTGGGAAGACCCCCTGGAGAAGGGATAGGCTACCCACTCCAGTATTCTTGGGCTTCCCCTGTGGCTCAGATGGTAAAGGATCCGCCTGCACTGTGGGAGACCTGGGTTCGATCTTTGAGTCGGGAAGATCCCCTGGAGGAGGACATGGCAACCCACTCCAGTATTCTTGCCTGGAGAATCCCCATGGACAGAGGAGCCTGGTGGGCTACAGTCCATGGGGTTGCAAAGAGTGGGACACGACAGAGCGACTAAGCACAGCACTAGATTATAAAACAGTAAGGAGAGAAAGGGGTAAGGAGGGGAGCAGAGTTAAAAGAGAAAGGCAGGAAGATGACAAGAGATAACCATTACGTGACCCCGTGCTAACTCTTCACATCTAGGATCTCCTTAGTCCCCAGATAACCTTCTACACTGTGCACTGTTAGTCCCATTCTGAAGATGAGCAAACTGAGGCTCTGCAAGGTTAAAAGTTTGCTCAAGGTCACAGGGCTAGAAACTGGCTGACTCAAGCCTGAACCAGGTTGGAACTCTTGTCGTCTTCCCACCACACTTGGTTGCATTGTCAAGGGTATTCAAGGGCATCCAGGGTGTTAGCTACAGACAGAGGTCCTGCACTGTTAAATGGAAGGACTCAGTGAGTCAGCTTTTCCATGATCAAAGTAGTACGAAAGTAAGGAGGATTGAATCAGGGGCTGAAGACACCAGTGGACATGTGGACAGGGCTCAGTGGAGGTTGAGAAAAATCTGGATGGAGGTCAGTAAACAGGATGCTGAGCACTTCCGGGGGCCCAGAGGAACGTAGTTAGAAACTTGAAAATTCTATATCTAGTGACCCTGGGCATCCACTCATCTGGGATGTGGGGAGGTGATCCCTTGAGCTCTCGAAACGTCTGTGGAGCAGGCAGCGGTGGAAGGCCTAGCTGATCCTGGGTGACAGGAAGGTGCCCCGGGTCGCAGTGTGGGCCTGTGACAGGTGCGTGCAAATGTGAAGGCAACAACTAGAAGGGACTCACGGGAGCAGCCTCTACTTAACTTCCAGAGGGAGGATCAGCCTTACTGCAATCTCATCTCCTCACTTCCCCAGCACTGCCATATGTGCCAGAAACTTCTCTTTACCTGGCTTCTTCTTTTAACCTGCCAGTTTTCCAGCTAAGAGTTGACTCTCTCACCACGCACACAGTGGACTTCATTATCATTTCCTGGCTCTGTCCGGGTCCTAATCCCCTGTCAGACTCCTAGCAACTCTTTCAGATGCTGGGGCCTGGGGGTTCAGGCCTCCAGCTTTAAATTCTGCTGAAGGTTTCAGCTTCCCTTGGGTTACAAGTTCATGCTGAAGCAATGAAAGTAGTCAAACAACCATACAAGCTGTCAGGGATGCTTCTGGCTTCATAAATCTTAAAACATTTCAGGGTTGTGTTTTTTTTTCCCCCAATGAAATAAGGTGTCTCCGCTAGAGAAGGTAAGACACACACACGAGTGCACACACACACAACTAAAAATCTGCAGTGTCTATATCAATTTTGAAGTCTTTGAGCATAATTGGATTAAAAGACAAGCAACTGGCTTTGCAGAGCCCTAAATCTGTACCTGAGGCATGCAGATTGATGATGGAGATTTAGCTAACTTACTATCTTGCCTCAGTAGAATAAATAGGACCATTAAAAACATCTATTTTTTTAAAATATATATATCTTCATTGCCATTATCCTGAATAGATGGATGTGCCAAAAATGTGCTATGAATTTTCCCAAACGTGACAAACCTGGCAGTATGCTACGAATAGTTACAGTATTATTACCATGCATTCTGGTATG